CTTAACCGATTTCAACCAAATTCGGTGGCTAACGTTATTTTCATGTTTCTATGTCATACTGCGAAAATGGGCGAAATCGGACTAGAACCACACCTACTTCCCATATAACACCATTTTAAATTCCATCTGATTCTTTCACTTTCCACTATGCAAATCAGGCAAAAATGACTGTATCGGGATAAACCTTTGCGTGAATAATGCGATTAAAGTATGCCACCTTGTGGCCAAAAATTGTCTAAATCGAACCAAAACTGTTTAAGCCCCTAAGTACTAAATATGTGGACCCCAGTGCCTATAGTTGACCTTCTACCGAAAATATCAGTTAATACACAAAGAAATCTCAAACGAGTATACTATTTGACTTTGCGCGAGTATAAAATGTTCGGTTACACCCGAACTTAGCCCTTCCTTACTTGTTTATTTTTCAAACTGTATATAAATACATACATATATGACTCAAAATACATCTTCATCTACAATCTTCATCTCTTAAACTAGATGAATACTCAAAATATTTCATATAAAACTGCAACGTTTCGATTCACAAGATTGGAGTTTCTCTACTTAATAATGTGAATGAACCAACTCAATTTAAACTAGAAACAAATATTTTTTTGATATTTTCGAATTTCACTTAAAAATATAATAAAATATAAAGGGAAGGAAGTTTCTCATTATTATATTTATATTCACATACTGCATGTTGTTTAACGGTCTGAATAACCTCAACAGGAGCAAAGTTGATAAGTCTGCATATTGTAGGAATTTTAATGTCACAATTTCATTTTCATGTTATTATTTGTGAACAAGAAATATCATCATCAACGCGTTTCGGCCGTTGAAACCATCGAGCGATATTAACGGCGTTTCCACGTGTTTCCTGTGCCGCGTCCTCATCTGTAATCTGGAATTACAACTTTCAAATATTTATTTACTTATCAAAAAATTTTTTTTTTCAATAATAGAAATTTTCATAATATATTATATATATTTTTAATTTTATTTAAATACTAGCTGACCCTGCGAACTTCGTACCACCATAGCGTAGTTTTGATACACTACTTTACTTTGTATAGCTGACAGTTGTCCTATGTTAGGTATAAATACCTATTCAATTTAAATTGGAATCTATAATATCTCCATATAAAAATTAATCCCTATTTCCATGGTGTCGCCATAACTGAGAAGTACTTTAGTAATTTCATAATTAATTAATATTGTGTAGTCATCAGAAGTTACCAAAAATCGATATTAAGCTGTGAACTTACCGTGATTAACAAACACTTATTAGCAAACAACAAACTTCGTAGTGTTTTAGTTAGTGCGATAGAATTGAATTAAGTAACCACATTTCCGAACAAACGATGCTCTTTCAATATAGTCTATGGCTGTGAATTACGATGACATTTGTTACGCGCGTTTTTTAAAATATGCAAAATTAAATGTATTTTTTCAATCTTTCAGAGACATTTTCTTAATATTTTTTTCTGTAAGAACCTTTTACAGAGTATTAGAATACTACGAAAAAAAAGCCAAATCGGTCTAGCCTTTCTCAAGTTATGGCGTGACAATGGAAAACGGGTTTAATTTTTATATATTATATATTATATATTTAAATTGTAGAAAATATTTCGAATAATATCAAGCAAGTTCTGTTGATGCAAGCAGTAAGCAATTAACCAGCTTAAATTAATATGATACCAAAAAAGACGACAGTTCCACCTAATAACGGATTTGGAATACTAACGAAACACCATTTCATATAAAGTTTTGCAGTTTTGTGAGTACTTTTTTGAATACTACTTGTAGAGGGTAAATATTGAGATAAATTTTCATGCTTATTATAGGTCATGAAATCGCTGTTAGTATAGAAGCTTTGACTTCACGTGATTTTAGGGCTTAGTATATTACTTACTGTACTTGGCGCTACAATGCAATTGAGTGGTAGCTTAAAGTTGTGATATGGTAGCAAAACGATGAAAAACATTGTAATAAATTGTAAATATAAATTGTATAACCAAAATCATTCCGAAGAAAATCACAAAACATAATCCGATTCGATCCAATTCCTTATGACCTCGGTATATGTAAATTTGCGAATTTCTGTCATCGTATGTTATATAATCAATCAGATCAATTGGCAACTGATGGAATTAAACACAAATAAAGCTTCGACAACCAGTTTTATTTTATGATTTCTCGAACATCAGGACATTAAATTTTGTTTCATAGTGTTCAAAGTCTCCACGCTCATGTTAATGATATAAAAATCGACTGCCTGATGCTGTCTTCAGATATTTAATGTTTTGTACAAACTTGAAGTTATCCCTGTGAAAATGTTTATATACCAGGATCTACTTCAGTTAACGAGCTGAGGATAGATAGCACGAAAACAAGCAATCGCATTGACCCTTATGTTAGTAACCAACTTTACCGACGTCTTTTAGCAACCGGGTACCGGGGTACGATCTGAGTATAATTATTATTTTGTTTATTTTATTAAAAAAAAAAATTTCTAAAAATTTGTTCAAAAAATTTTTTTCTTCAAATATTAATAGTCAGTGACAATTTAAAGAAGAAAAAAAATAACAAGGCAGAATAAAAAAAAAAGAAAAAACCTGAACTCACAAATAGCTTTCTTTTATGTTAAAAAACTACGATTTGAGAGCTTAAAATGAAATATTGAAAAAATATATTCCCAAAAATAGGCAAAAATGCCTCCATATAACTAATGTAAATATTTTCGAACTTCCCGTCGACTTTCTACGGCATCTACAAGTATCAGCCAATATGTAGTGAATCTTAATGAAATTCAGAATGAATCTCTTATAATAACAGTGTGTATTTTTGCATAAAATGGAGGAAATCAGGGCAATGTTCCCTTAGTCCCCATATACATAATATACGGATTTTCAAACATCCGCTTAACTTTATACCTTATATGTATATTGAACAATCTGTGCGGTTTCTTAATGAAGTTCATTACTTACTGGTAATGATACATATGTCGTAATACCAAAACTGGATAAAATCGGATCAAAATATTCCCTAGCCCCCATATACCTGATATAAGAAAATGGATAAGAGTCATAGAAGAATATCAAATTTCTGGTTGGCTTCATACCGTATATATCGGTCAATATGTAAAATATCTTGGCAAAATAAATGATATTATAATATTGGATATACTCGTACTATAGTTAAATGCTGAAAAGGTCCGATATTGATCCACGAATTACCCCACATTCTACATACAATTATTTTCGTTTATCCCGAATGAAATTCCGATTTACCATCCTTTGGTTGATTTTTTCCTCTTATACCCCATGTATAAAATTTAGCTTCTTTGTTCAAAAATCTGAACACGAATTTATATATATGCGTGTAAACTAGCTGTATCCTGCGCGAATTGCTACGCGACCAACTAAAATAAATTTGATCATTACATTTTGTATCATTTTATTTATTTATAAAAAATTACATTTTGTATCATTTTATTTATTTATAAAATAATAAAAATTAGGTATCAATTACTAAACAAAATTATTTATACTGTGCTATACGGAATAGTTACACTGGTGACGGAAACAGTGTCACACGAATTTTGTGTTGATTCTTGTTTATGTTGGTGTACTCTCATTAACAATATATAATAATTTTGTTTCAATCGAGCTTTCCTCGTCCAACAATTTTTTTTTTTTCGTTCTTAATGATAAATAAAAAATAAAATTTTAATAACTTTTTTTCATATCGTATTATTACAAGTTAATGACGATGATACGCAAAAATAATGTTAAATATAAAAATTTTTACGCGTAGCAAATTCTTTTTGCATATGGTTCTTTATTGAATATGAAATAATACGATTTGAACACAATTGAGTAGTTGACTCTAATTGAATTATTTTTTTATAAAACATTGTTTTTTTTTTGCAAAAATTAGTAATATCAAATGAAGGACGACATTTTCACTCTCAATCGTACTGAATATCAGAAAATAAAAATTTTCCAAAATCATGCAAAAAAATATAAACAGCAATAAAAAAAGTGTATTGCATGAGAAAAGCTGGACCATCGAGAAAAAAGCAGTCACACTTGCGAGATTTTGTCTCATATACGTTTTTTACATCATAAACATACCACGAAACTGTTCTAGACCCCGACAAACAAAAT